TGGGAATGGGGCTGGAGACACAGACACTGCAATTCCAGAGCCTCAGAGTGGGTCAGGGCTGCATTCTATGTGCCCAACCCTCCGGGAAGGATTCCCACCACAAAGAGCTCCCTCTCTCCAGGAAGGACTTCCCATTCTATCTGGGAAGGATTCCCACCCTTTCAGGAAGGATTTCCCACCTCTCCAGGAAGGATTTCACACCTCTCCAGGAAGGATTTCGCATTCCACCTGGAAACTACTTCCCATCCCTTCAGGAGGGATTTCCCATCTCTCCAGCACAATTATTCCCCCTTGGGGAATAATTTCCCATTCCCTCCAGCACAAAATTCCCACCTCTCCAGGAAAGATTTCCCAGCCCTTTGGGAAGGATTTCCCACCCAGGCTGTACCTCTCTTGGGGACCTTCATGGCAGCAGATTCCGGGGTTTCTGGGGACGTTGTGTCAGCTCCATCCTCAAACACCTGGATCTGGAAAAAGGACAGCAACCATTATTGCCAAAAATTCCCAAACAGGGAGTCCAGGGAATGGGTCCCTCTGGCAGTGGGTTCAGCAGAGCAGATCCCATGTTTTTGGCACAAATTTTTGATTTCATCGTTCCAGCTTTGCCATCAACCATCCTCCTTCCATAGGCTCCCTGAGAACAGCCACAGGCTTTTATTCCCGCTGGGAATGAGGAATATTCACACAGGTAATGAGGAAAGTCAAAGGTCTGGATTTGACAGCCCTGAATAGCCATTGCAGGTTCAGGGATTTCTCTTTGTGAACTGTTTTTGGACACATTTTTGCCGGATAAACATGGAAAACTGGGCTGGAAGGGATTAGATCCCTGTGGGAGAACCATCCTCGTGCCTCAGAGCAGCACCCCCGGATTGTCCCTGCAGGAATCTGCCTGATCCATGACCACCTCCCACCGGGGAGTTCAGCTCAAAAACCAAAATCACCTGGGAAGCTGTCAGTCAGGGATTCCATTCTGGGAAGATTCCCAACACCAGGAATGATCAAAACTGAATTAAAAGCCACAGGGAGACCGGGAAAAATGATGCCACAGAAATTGCGAGGCCTGCAGGAAACCAGGGTGGGAATTCCAAATGGTCTGGGGGTTCCCCAGCAGGCCCAGCCCAGGTGGGAACCCCGGAGCTGCAGGAGGGGCCCAGGGCAGGGACAGAGCGGGGCTGGCTCGGGGTGACACCGGAAATGCCACCTCTGAGCTCCTGAGCCAGGCAGGAGCCAAAGGCAGCTCCAGGGGATGCCAAAGGCAGGGATGATGGTTCCACACACCAAAAAAGGAACAGTCATGTTTGGAACAGCCAGCCCAGGCACAATCAGGGAATCCTGGAATGGTTTGAGCTGGAAGGGAACTTAGACCCTACCCAGTGCCACCCCCAGCCACGGGCAGGGACACCTCCCACTGCCCAGGTTGCTCCAAGCCCCATCCAGCCTGGCCTTGGACACTTCCAGGGGTGGGGCAGCCACAGCTTCTCTGGGAAATCCATTCCAGCCCCTCACCACCCTCACAGGGAGGAATTCCTTCCCAATATCCCATCTATCCCTGCCCTCTGGCAGTGGGAAGCCATTCTCCTTGTCCTGTCCCTCCATGCCTTGTCCCCAGTCCCTCTCCAGCTCTTGGAGCCCCTTTAGGCACTGGAAGGGGCTCTCAGGTCTCCTTGGAGCCTTCTCTTCTCCAGGCTGGACATTCCCAACTCTCCCAGCTCCATGGCAACAGAGCTCCAGAATCCCAGACAGGGTTGGGTTGGGAAGGACCTTAAATCCCGGCCAGTGCCACCCCCTGCCATGGGCAGGGACACCTCCCCCTGCCCAGGCTGCTCCAAGCCCTGTCCATCATCCCTGTGGATGAAATCCATGGGATGAACTGGGGAGCAGCTTCCCAGACCAATCCAGACCATCCCTGAGCCTTGTGCTCAGCACCCCCGACCCTCCTGGTCCTGCAGACCCAACGTTTTCCCTGGAAACCCCTGGAAGCCTTTCCCAGCTGGCAGGGGAGGCCGAGTGATGGACAAGGGAGTCGGGTCCGTGTGTCACCGAGTGCCAAGGTCCTGGCAGTGCCCGGAGGGGCAGCAGAAGGGTCCAGGAAAGCAGGAAGAGCTGGAGATGCCATGGGCTGGGATACAGAGCAGCCCCTTTTTCCAGGGAGGAGGACAGGATCTGGCTGGAAAATGGGGCTGGGGACACCCGGAGCTGGGGGCTCCAGTGCCACCTCTGCCTTGGGAAGGTGACACAGGGAATTCACCTGGGAGGTGTTTGCCCCAGAGAGCTCCTGGGTCCTGCTGCAGCCCAGGAGCAGCAGAGCCAGCAGCTGCACCCACCCAGGGTGTTTTATCTGCTTCCAGGTAAACACAGTTTAATTAGAATTCCCCAGCTCTGCTTCCAGGTAAACGCAGAGATCGATCCCAAACTCCACCTGCTCCAGGGGCTGACTGGGAACTTCCCTGGGAGGTGGAATAAACCCTTTGGAATTCACTGGGCTGTTTTCACCCCATTCCCCTGGAAACACCCCCCAGTAACCCAGGGGCTGACCAAGACCTCAAGGATCCTTGTGGAGGGGCCTGGCCCCAGTGCCAGGGGAGGTTCCACCTGCCTGGAGTGTGCTGCTCCCTCCACATGGAGACAGGAGTCCCAGGAACCCCACGGCCCTGGGAGCAATGGGAACTGGTTTCTCCCTCCCCACCCGGGTGGGAAGGGCTGGTTCCCTCTATTTGATGAGCACCTGAGGATCCTGGGAAGCAGAGCCCTCTGAAGGACACCAAGGGCCCTGGGAAGCAGAGCCCACCAAGGATGGTGGGAAGTGGAGCCCTCTGAAGGACACCAAGGATCCTGGCAAGTGGAGCCCACCAAGGGACACTGAGGATCCCAAGAAGCAGATCCCCCCAAGGATCCCGGGAAGGAGAGCCCTCTGAGGGACACTGAGGATCC